GATGCGAAAGTGCATGACTGTACAATCAGAAACATAAATAGCATAGTTTTTATTTTTGTAATCTTTCTATAAAAAAATAGAGAATTGGCTCTTAGACAAAGTTACATTTCATTATAAAGACAAAAGACTTGTCTTCCCTTCCCAGCCTCCTAATAAAACTTCAATCCTACGACCCTTTTGCTCTCCTGATAACCAAGCCATCACTAACAGTCCCGTTTCACTAAATCCCAGAGGAATTTTCCACCATCCGCCCCTCTCCGTCCTCCTTCATCTTTGTCTTACTTATTTCTTACACTCTCCCCTCGTCCTTTTCCTCCACTTCTCCTCACATGCTACGTTTCTGTCATCCTCCTTAGACCCATCTGCCTTTCAATCATCTCTCCCCTGCCATGTCAGCTCTCTCGTCTTTTTCCTTCCCTCCCCTCTTTTCCTCTCTCTCTCTGTCTCTTTTCCTCGCATCTCCATGTTCTGGACTTTGTGAGTGGAACACAGATTATGTCAGACATTTATAAAACCGGATTAGCCAGGATCACCTTCAGGCAGGCACGCGCACATGAACACGCATGCACAAAGACTAATGACTCCATGCATCCCTATTTATAAACCTCTATTGTAGCTGTGTATAGGTTTTCTTTAGGTGCTCATAATGGCTTTGGACTGCAAAGGTCATTTATTTTAATGGGGGGGAAAAAAAATCAAAAACTTGTTTAGTCTCTATTTAGGTAATGACCTTAGGTTTAGCGGGTAATGTGTTCAAGTAATTTGCATTAATGTGTTGTAAAGTCTTTCCAGCTTTTTCATAAAACTGTATGGATGTTACTTGAAACTACAATAATGTCCCCAGCAAAATCATATAATTGATCAAAAATCTGCTTTGAGAATTATTTCCCTCTCACTGAATAATCTTGATTACAAATTTTAAGAAGCAAATATATTCTACACATTTCTCAGACTAAAATGTATAAACAATAATTACACTTTAATTAGGAAAAAACCCACAGTAGTTGGCTACTAATCATGACTTAATTGAGTAAAAAGAAAGAAACAAACAACCAGATCTAAAGATACTAATGCTAATTCTACTGTATAAACTAATAGCACAGCTGAATGTGGAGTTTATAGTTTGTGAACTTAATGTTCAAATTACCAGTTGAGCTAATTAATGCCAGATGACTTCGTTTGAATTTAAAATACTGAAACAAAGCATACTATTAAAAAAGGAAAGTTTATTAGAAGTAAATCTGACAGAGTGATCAGTCCTGATTTTGACCTGGTTGGGAAATGCTTCACTGTGGTTTCTGGTTTCTATGAGAACAGCATCGTTCTTCTGGAGGAGGAGCGCTCACGGGGCCTGATCGACCAATCAGAGATGCGATTGTTTTGTTTTGTTGAACAGCTGAGGAGAAAGTTTTCTTTTCATAAACACAATTCTTTAGACCAGAGAGAAACTAAAAATACCAACAAAGTGTTATTGTAGATAAGATACTGTATCATGACTCAAGCTGTTTTCAGATTAAAGGTTTTAAACATTTCATCATTATATTGAATGACAGGTTTGTATCCAAAGTTTACCTAAGATTTTAAGTTACCCAATTGTGTATTATTTCCAATGCTATCAAATGAGAGTGAGAATATTTTGATCCTCTCCATCCTAACCTAAGACAAACAATGCTAACAACTATCTGGGGAAGTAGTAATCAGATTTATTATTTTTGCTGGAGATTGTGAAGCCAAAAGACTTAGACTAAGTGCTAAATCAAAAGGTACTTCAACAAAATTAGTTTAAAGGTGTATCCACTCATACAGCCGGGTTAACCTGCTTTCCCCCTGCAGATTTATTTACTACTTAGTGAAATAGTACATGATACTTGTCCTATTAGAGGTGGAAAATGTCTGTAAATCAGTGTGATATATATCACAAATGAAGAATTTCTTCATGCATGTGTACAATTTTCAGAGCTGCTGTATTTTGAGCTAACAAAAACAGTTCTTGTAGCTGGAGGTTCAGATCGGAGGTGATTTGCGGGCTACAAATCTCCCAAAATTGTCTCCCGGCCAGGTCTTCTTTCCCAGCATCACCTGACTTCACTAATGCCTCTGTGGGAGTAAATCTCTTTAGTGACAAATCTCTTAAAACGCCACCCAGGAGGTTCTGATTTCTTTTGTTCTGGAGAAACTAATAACCCTATTTGCTCTATAATGCGTCCTCAGCAGAAAAATCCTCCATGGATGCAGTGCAATAGCGTCCAGACTATTTTTGGCATGAGGATTCACTGACACATACTGTTCTATTTTAGTCTAACAGAGGCGTATTCTCCTTGAACCTACACAGACGCACGACTTCTGACTCTCGAACCTTGTGACATGCGACTCATCCACAGCTCTGACTCACAGAAACGGGGAACTGGAACCATGCTTCCCAGTGTCGCACACCATGGGTATTCTCATGCATACTGCCACACGTGTGTGTGAGGTTTCATCCTGAAAGCAGTTCTGCGCTGAGCTGCTTTCCAAGTCACATAAATCAGCACTATAATGATTAGCATGAAACATCGTCACCAACATGAAACCAGTTTCCTATCGTTAAATCAGTCACAGGCGCAATAACCCCCCTGATATTTTACCCCTCTTTCTCTCTTCTCCCTCCTTGTTCCTTTCCTTGTCTCCCTACATCCCCCCACCCCTTCCCCAACCTCCTCAATACCTGACTCAGCAGAACAAGTCGGAGGCAAGGTCATCTGGTTGCTGTTGCTGTGTAGCAGGAGAACTGGGTGATTTTTCTCCCCTCCATGCTGGTACTAAGAGGACGGTGAGCTTTTCCCAGCGGGGGGATGAGAGGGTGATCAGAGGGGGTACAACATGAAGGCGTGACAGAGGGTAGGACATGGTAATGCAGGCAGCCATTTTGGTTTTAAATGAGATTGAAAGAGCTTTATTAACAGCAGTCTAACATAACATCGACGAGCGGCACTCTGCATCATGACTAAATTAGTGTCCAATAATCTGTGTAAATTGTCTGACTAGTATAAATAATTAAACAGTTTTTGATGCAAAGAGTCCAAGACAAAAAAAAAATAAAAAATAATAATTATCAGAAACGGGAAGCTCAAGACTCTCATGAACAAAAAAAAAAAAAAGAAATGTCTCAATAACAGAATCCACAATTAACCTTAACTCTAAAGACACTGGAAGTTTTAATTATTGTTTGAAAGACTAATTTGTTTCCAAAAGAGCTTCTTCACTTGGTCCCAGGAAAATAATGATTCTGACTACTGTGATTTTCTCTTATCATTCTGACCATGAGCTTATACATATTAATTTTAGTTATTCAGTGTCACTGTTACTATAATTTAATTTCTCCCAACACAAACATGAACCTTACTGATCTGACAGGTAAAATTAAAATCTGTTTTAATCCAAATTCTTCAATTTCAAATTCAAGCTTTACAAAATATAAAATAACATTGAAGTAAATACAGAATTTTAGTGGAAAACCTGCAAAACACTTGGAACTGAGGTTAATCTTCCAGCAATACCCTAAATCTACAACAGACAGAGTACAGAGGAATGATTTAAATTAAAGCATAATCCATGTGTTAGGAAGCAGCAGACCTAAGTCCAGTTGAGAATCTCATATGATTCTCAACTGGAGATGTGAGAGAAGTGTGACAATTATCCACACTTTTCAGATGTTTGCTTGTTAATAGAAATTAAAATCATTTTGCTTGTATCCACCTTATTTCTCCAGATTTTCACCAAAACACCACAAAAAAACCTCCAGTGGAATTAAGTCTATGTGCATTTAGACTCAAATAACAACTCGACTGCATCACGACAGCATGTTTTTGAGGAGCGCTGCAGCAGAGTGTCCTTTAACCCTCGAGCAAACCCCAGACCGATGCTCTGAGGTCCAGTGGTACTGCACGGTCATCACTCAGGCCCTCAGCAAGGAACGCAGCGAGGCATGGCTGCAGTACGCTGCAGGGCCAGCACAAGTGACTCTGACAGCTTTAATCAGGCATTGCTGTGCATGCATGTGTATGCTACCCTCCTGTATGCTACCCTCCTGACTCCATATGTATGAGTGTATATGTGTGTGTGAGCTCTCACTGCAGCATCGTGGACTCACAGCTGCAAATAGGCCAGCCTCGGTGAGGAGAACGTCCTCTGTGTGTCTGTCTTTGAACTCTTTGGCACTGTCACAGTGTTCACGCAATATTCTCTTTCCACGCCCTTGACATGCTGCGTGCTCAAAGGAGGCAACATCCATCAAATTCCTCACATCTCATGATTTAAAAAGGTCCTGGTAGATTCAAAAACTTTTTAGAGATGTTTGACTTATTAAAAAAAAACTAAATAATACAAATAGAGAGTTGGTTTTCTTCCACCAAGGTACACCTGCCTTCACTTTTTGATATAAAGTGCTGACTCTGCATTGGCAGAACTGTGCATGTGCTGATATGAGCAGTAATGGCTGCTTGCTGATGTCTGCAGACATGAACAGTAACACATTGATTGCAAATCTGTGACTCCAGCCCTCATTGCAGTCTTCTTTACATTTTGAACAACCCACCACGCACACCTCCATTTACACCTGCAGGTAACTGGAGGTATCAATGGAGGTGTGCTACAGATGCTCGTGATAGGATGACTGAAGAGACATTTAGGTGTGTTCATCACATGCAATATAGTAAAACACAAATCCTCTATTTCTGGTGTTACATAAGCGCAGAACATATGAAACAATTACAGCCACGACGACTTGGATTCTAACCTTGTGCGTCCATTTTTTTTTTTTTATAAAAAAAAATCAACCTAGAGACTCGCGATGCTGCTGGATGCGAGCTGCGGGATTCTGCAGTAAAGCAGGAGGGGCAGCTTAGCTTTCTGATTGGCCCGCATCGATGAGACGCTCGGAATACTGATTGGTCGCCTTCGCCGGCGGTGGGCGGGTCCAATCGACCCCTTTCGCTTCGCCCATTCGCTCAAGGAGGCGCTTCTTCCCCCGGCGGAGTGGTGCAAGCTGGAAGAACGGGGAGTACTGCGGCAGCCGGCAGAGCCGCGGAAGAGCATCGAGTCCTGGGGAGGTAGCAGGTTTTTTTCTTGCCGGGTCCTTTTCACCGCAAGTATCAGAGAGCAGAGGTTCCACGCGTGATGCTCCGCTTGAGACCGCGACATTTCATCTGAAAAAACAAGAAAAGAAAAGAAAAAAAGAAAGACGTCTTACGAGAGAAAGAGGGCAGCCTGACCTTTTTTTTTTAAAAAAAGGTTTGAGCCTCTCTTTATCCCAACTGTTAAGTCTAGACTGCAGATATCCTCTCTACTGTGTGTTTAAAGCTAAACAACTGCGCTTACACTGTTCTGCTTTTCAAGGCGAGGCATTCATACACTGACTAATTCAACGTGAGGGGCTGACACCTCTCAAGCGGTGCATCACCTGAGAGAAGAAGAATAATTGCGCCAACATGGGGGTAAGACACACCATTTCCAACTTTCTTAACTGCGTTGTAGCCCAGTCGAAGTGGCCTGAAAACCGAGGGGTGGTCTCCTACCTTTACTGGCATATTTTTGAAATAACCGAGCCGTGATGTCGTTTTGGATATCCTGTGCAGCCTCTGTGTCTGAGTGACATTGACTCTAATGCGGAACTGTGTTTTGCCCAGCTCTCTCTATATACTGCGACAAACTGGTGCGGCCAGAAGCTCCTGTTAGATCAGAACCGCTCAGTTGGGTTTTCACCTCTGCGTCAGGTTTAAAGGTTCGGCTGAGTTTAAATCTGATGCATAATGCAGGGGAGAAGGAAGGTTGTCTTGTTAGGTGTCTCGTTTGGCGTGACCGCAACCTTCCGAGCCAGTAGGCCCTAATCGGTTTATTCCTCCAGATTGTTCTTGTGTTGGGGGGGTTAGGGCGGGATGGCACGTGTTATCTGCGCCCATCGTGGTTTAATAATGTTATATTCAGGTGTTGTATTCACATACTTGTGCAGCTCTTCTTTTGTGATGACAGAGCACATTGAATCCACCTTCCTCCCCATTATCATCATCATCATCATCATCTTTTTCTTCTCCTCTCCGGCTCTACGCAGCTGCTTCTGTGCCATTGGAAGGCATTTAGCGCTGAGGACGCGTCCTTTCCACTGGATGCTGTCAGCCGAAGACACCCTCAATGACCCGTGCGTCATAATGCGGTTACCAGGAATAAGTGTCCCACCAGCTTATTTCTCCTTTAATTTGTGACATAACACTGGAACTCGATAATCGCCAGCAATGGCCACACATTCTGGTGAAGAATAATGAGACGACGCTATCTGGTCTCCACATCTTCATGCGCGCATCTTTAAAAAAAAAAAAAAAAAAAAAACCCATCTTGGTTAAACTTGTCACAGCCGTATCCGTGAATGAATCAATAGATTAATTTGCAAACCCTGGTGGAAAATCACCAACTGTGAGCTGCGTGTGAAATAATAGCCGGGTTTTGCGCATTTTTTTTTTTTTCTTTGCTTCATCACCATCTGGTGATGCTGGTTGTAATTTTTAATCTGATGCAGCGCCACGCGGGGATGAATGATGCGGCGGCGTGACGCTGCAGACGGATCTTCAAGGCGCCGGGAGAGGATTTATGGGTCCGTGTGAGCGTCTTTTCCTTCTAAAATGTGCTGCTTTTGCGGGCACTGCGTCAAAAAGGAGACGAGAGAACAGAAAGTGCTTACGCACGTAGCTGCGTACTGATGTGGGGACGTTTGGTTGTGGCTGTATGTGGTGTGAAGGGGAACAAGTCATCCTTTGGGGCACAGTGTGTTCCTCCAGGGGTTGGCATTATGGAAGCCAGTAATTGGAAGAGCAAATAGCGGAGATCTGTGAAGGATGCCGAGGTGACCCTGAACGCTGGGGAGAAAAGACGGATGCAGGTTCTGGAAATCCTACCATTAAATCCCAGATTTCCATTTTTCCTTCACGCTTCTTTCCTCTTTCCTTCGAGAATGTCCTCTTGGCGCACCGTGCAGCGGCTGTCCTTCCACAAGGCCGCAGGGGGCATCGCTTGTGACGCCGCTTTCCGCGTCAAACCAGGGGCGGGGTTTGTGCCGTGGAAATTCCCTGCAAAGAGCTGTGATAGGCTGGAACCAGGAGCCACGCACAAAAGGGACAGCGCTGATGCTGTATAGAGGGGAGAGAAAAAAAAAAAAAGCTTTAACATGTGTCAAGAACACAAGGAAGACATATATAGATATTTCTAATTTTAGCAAGCATCCCTTCAGAAAAGGATTTTCACTCTCTCACTCCGCCTCCTCGTCTTGCACGCCGCTCCTTTTCATCCCTGCACTCACTGATGCAGCTTTTTGCCTTACAGAGTCTGAAATTGATTACTGTATAGGAGGAATGTAAAATGAGAATGTGCATCAAGGGCCTCACGGCTGCATCGACTCCTGCTGTTCACCTTCAGACACGTGATTCAGATGGTGGTGGTTGGGGGGCGCTGATGAGAGAACAGCAAGGTGGTGGCTGCATTTTAAAGAGAGAAACAAGGAGTTAACGGAATGGCGACTGAGTATGGACGAGGAGAGGGGGAGGGCTGCTTGACTGTATATCCTGTTACGGGATAATGACCTGAAGCTCACATTACCGTGGCTTGTGTTTCCCTCTGCTGCAGCTTGTGGGATTGGTTATCAGGGGCAGAGGAGGCAGGTGGGTAGCAGGAGGCGGTGTGGGTCTGGGTGGTAAGGGTTGATGAGCAAGGATAGAAAAAATAGGATGTCACCGTGTTTGTCAGGAGGTCATACTGCCTTAGAGCGGTGTGACATTAAGTCCTCTGTAAGATATGGAATATAAAGGTTTCTAGGACAGTGTGTGCATTTATTTTTGCACCACTAGGGCGTGTGCAGGATGGAGGAGACATTAGCCTTTTCTAAAGGTAATGAAGGAGCTGTGTGGCTGCTGCGGCTGCTGCTGCTGCAGAGGCGCAGCCCTCAGTTTGGTGCAGAGAGCTGCACCTGCTGCATGGTGCTTTGTGGTGGCTGGTTAGTCCCTCATGATGTAGAAACCAGCAGAAAGAGGTTCATACACGATGTGGTTCCCCTACATGTGTCCAGGGATTCGGTTAAGGTCAATAGGCTCCTTCGATTTAAGCAACATGACAGCTGCTGCTCCATAGGAAGCAAAAAAGAGGAGCAACGCTCAGGAACATTCTGATTTCTCCCATGCAGTTAAAGGAGCTACATCTCCTTTTGGCTTAAAAAAATCAATAGTCCTGAAAGGTCACATCTGTGCTTCATAGCTTCAGCTACACCCTAGTTTGATGCAAAGGCTACAAATGAAAATGTGGCTTGACACTCATGTTCATTATGCTCTTTGCTCTCCTGCCCCCTTCAGATGGTCAGCTGGATTCAGGGATTTAACCACAATGAACCCTTAAATTATTCATAATAACAACAGATTTCCCTAAATAAAATCTGGTTTATCAAAATAATTCCTGTTTTTTTTGTCTTTCAAATTACCAATCTGAGTTCTGTGACTAATGTAATTGCTAAGACTTTCCAATTTCTCTCTCTCCGATACTGTACTGTGCATATTTGATAATCTCCTACTGCAATTCGATTCTGTTGTTAAACCAAGATTTACTTCCGATTAGCTGATCATTACCTCTTGGCAATTCTTCTGTGCTGTGTAGGAAGAAATAATCCAAATTGTCAAGTAAACTATTGTTGTTCTCTCAGATACACTCAAAAAAAAGAGAATAGATGACAAACTTGTAGAAAACTTTCATTGATTCAGAGTAGGTGAACTTTGCAGTCACAAGGCCATTAACTTTTTGTTTTTGTTAGTTTTTTGTTGTTGCTTTGACTGGGATTAAAGTCAGTTTTTGACTAAACAACCTTCTACAGTAGTTAACTCAAACTGGTAGCCTGTTTTGCTCACTTCCATTTCATCCTTTGAAATGGAAGTGCTTATTTCTGGTTAGTTGGCTACTTTTATGAACTATTAGGATAAATAATGACAAAATAAGACCCATATCAAAATACATTTATAAATATGATTTCCTTCAGGGAAATGTTGTACAGTAAGTAAATAATATATATTTAAGAATTACTGTACACAGTGTTTGTCTACTCTGGCACAAAATGTCCCCATAGGGTGTTGATGCAACTTCCTGCATCTCTGGTGGCAGACAGTTACTTTCTGTTCTGGAAAATGTGCACAACATCGTGACCAGATGTGCAAAAATACAAAATGGAGGAATGGAGGAGGAATCCATGTAAAGTGAATGTTTTTGAGCCAGAACTAACTAACTTTAGTCAACACGTTCACATTAAAAAATGTGAATTCAACTGCTATGAGAGGCGGCTGTGTAACTTTAAATTTAACCCAACATCCACTGTAATCATCCAAAGGTCCACTTCTGTAATTTGCAGGCTACGTTTCCCATAAAACACAGAAGTTAAGCCATCTTTCCTCTAAAGGTCAAGTTGTCTCTTTAAGGCATTACTTTAAAACAAGATTATATTAGACTTAGTGATTGATATGGCCAAAAGTTTCCAACTTAACATGCTGATGGTCTCCCATAAAGAGAGTGCTTCGAGAGGGGTAGGTAGCCTGACTACAGCAACATGACACTGACAACATTTCAAGGCGTTGTCCTGGAGATGCATGTGTCCCTAGATGAGTAAATCAAGGCACAGTGGGCAGGCCTGCACAGACACAATGTGTAGAGACTGTTTGTTTTTTTTTCCTTCCAGTTTGAAGATTAACACTAAATAGTGAAATGTTTCATTGGATTGTTTAATTTGTTTTAATGTCTTATCTATTTGATTTTTCAGCATTGTAAATAGATGAATATCAGCTACTTTAATAAATTTAGTCAGTCTGACCAGTCTTATGAATGAACCTAGAAAATACAACACATTTAATCAATAGACGACAACGGACATAGGTTTATAAACATTAAAGCAGTGTGGAAGCATTACTGATTAAATTAAAGCTGATAAAGAACCTGGGAGTTGCCTAACGGACTAAAGAAAATATATTTTATAGCCTAATTCCGGGTTTTGATTTCAATTTAGTCTAAAAGAGAAAGAAAAACAAAGGTATAAAAATTAATGGATTAATATGATAAAAGAAATGGCTGAAGGTTTTTCATTTAACTATTTAAGCTTTTTTATATACAATATTAGGAATACATTAAAAGATACAAATGAACAACTAATTCAATTACTTTTTAAAAGAAAATAAGAAAATAAACATTTTATTGCTAAAAGTGCAACAAGATAACATCCCTAATCTGTTGATTAGTTTTTGAATTAACCTCTTAATAACTAGATAGAAAAAGATGCCTAATAGGAGCTTTTCTTTAGAGTTTGAACCAGGTGGGGCTAAAATTATGCCACATATTTACAGCGAATTATTTTTTTTCCTTAAATCCAAAACATGTATTTTTTTGTCCAATTTTGACTTAATGGCTGCTCTGAATGTATTGTTCT